AAATTAAAAATTAAACTAAAGGTAAAAAAATGGCCTTACTTTTCAACAGTTATTTCCTGACAGCTCGTGATTCACTAAAGTAAACATTGGAGATGATATTGATGGCTAGTAAGTTAAAAATATAACTTAATAAAGGTCATCTTTCCATCACAATTGTTTTCCAGGGGCAATTGATCCTTAATAAACTTGAATAGAACCCTTAGAATGGATTCTAGAAATAAAAATTCAAATCAATTTGATCTAAAGTAGAAACAATCACTTGAGAATATTATTTGGTTAAATTAAACAAATAAGACTTTTGTAGAGTTAACGGTTTCCCGCTTAAAGATGGACGCTATTGTTGTACTTAAAACAAAAAGAGTCCAGATAATTATCAGGATTAAAAAAAGACATTACAAATTTGAAGGTCTTTTTCATTTCTATTATCATTTTACTTTCACTTTTCCTTTTCATTAATTAATTAAATTGATGATTAAGGCTTAAGAAAACTCTTAACTCTAACATAACATTTTTTTCAAATTTTTACCTTTAATTAACATAATAAACTCATTAAGTGAATACAGTGTTTCCATTTAATATCTATATCTGTATCTATTTTGTACTTGATAATAGATGAATCTTATAAGATAGTAAGTATCAAAAACCAAAGAAACTGTCAAACGCCGAAGATAGCAAGTATCAAAAACCAAAGAAACTGTCAAACGCCGAATATTCTAGATTAAGAAAGATTCAAAAGACTAATGAATTACAAATTAGTTAATCCGTTGATCTTTAATTTGCCAATTTTCTGAGATTAAGTAAGTACAGATTTCTAATTAAATAAATTTAATTAACAAGATTGCTTTAACTATTTGTGTTTTCTGTTTTACCCCAGAATTGTGTTACAGTTATCGGACAAAGTCGGATTCACCAAGAAACTTCAAAAGTAAGTGTTCTTAATTAAATATTTTTAGTGAAAGATACAACAGCAATTCGTAAGCTATAATATCAAAAAAACAAAAACATATCATCATCAACACCATCATCACAATAATAATAGTCATCATGAACAACAACTCGATCTGACTCTCCCATAATAATCATTTCTCACGCTTCCTTTCCCTTTCTGTTGTCTTCTCATTATTTCTTCTTGCTGATTAACATGATAATATTATGCAGTGTTTTCTTTAAGCTTACAAAACCGATTCAAGGTGATCTCCTATTTCTCCAACATTTATCTCAAGATTCTCGAAAGCATCATCATTATCATAAGCATCATCAGCTAAATAAGTAAAAGCCAAGAGAAACCCATTCCAACGTTTTTACCACTTTGCATCATACATTTTATTTTCGTCCATTGGGCAGTCATTTTTCTCCATTTTTAATTTCACTCGGGCCTTTTCATGTCCAGTTCACCAAGTCTGGCTAAGTCCAGTCGAGTTAGGATTTTCCCAAGTAATCATAAACTTCTTATTACTTTCTATTATCTTTAGCTCT